CTATTTCCTTGTGGGGCTGCATGGCTCAGATGTTCTTCCTCCACTTCTTAGGGGGCAGCGAGATGACTCTGCTCATAGTCATGGCCGTGGATCGCTACGTTGCAATATGCAGACCTCTGCACTACACAGCCATCATGAACCGCAGGGTGCTGCTGGGCTCTGTGCTGCTGTCGTGGGCGGTTGGCTTTGTGCACACCATGAGCCAGATGGTTTTCATGGCCACTTTGCCCTTCTGCGGCCCCAATGTGGTCGACAACATATTCTGTGACCTCCCCCTAGTGATAAAGCTTGCCTGCACTGAGACCTATGTGCTGGAGTTGCTGGTCATAGCCGACAGTGGACTTCTGTCTTTCATCTGCTTCGTGCTCTTGCTCGTTTCCTACACTGTCATCCTGGTGACCGTGCGACGTCAATCCTCAGGTGGACTCTCCAAGGCGCTGTCCACACTGTCTGCTCATATCACAGTGGTCACTCTGTTCTTCGGGCCATGCATCTTCATTTATGCTTGGCCATTCCGTAGCTTTTCAGTGGATAAATTTCTTTCTGTGTTTTATTCTGTTATCACTCCCTTGCTGAACCCAGTTATTTACACTCTGAGGAATCAAGAGATGAAATCAGCCATGAGCCGACTGAGGACTCAACACATCAGCTCCAGACAGATCTAGAAGACTTTTATCAAGATGAAGAGTTTTTGTACAAAACATACACACACACACACACACACACACACACACACACACACACACACACATTTCAAACTAGGTTGGTATTCATTTTATTTGTAAATTTTAAAATCAAATTGTACATTTATATTATCAAATATGTTACATAATTATATTTCTATGACACATATGATTTTACTGAATGATTATTTTCAATGAAATTTTTATTATAATTTGGAATAATAAATTATTTTAAATATAATAACCAAATGGAAAAACTGGTTCATTAACTATATTTTCACACTCAAAAGTGTCTAATATTAAATTTTCTTTAAAATAAATCAAATATGAATTTGTACTTCTAATTAGTGACTTTTTATCTAAATTGTCTTGATGACTAAATATAGTGTAATTAAAATTATACTGAACCGACATGGATATATATCTTTGTGCCCTAGCATATAAAAGATTATGTTTTTAAAAAGGCAAACACTTTTATGAGTGGGTAGATGCATGTAGCAATAATATAAAAAAAGTTTTTAAGAAGACAGAAATTCCACTGGACTGGTTTTATAATGTACCTTTCTTTTCAATCTTTTATTTATTTTGTGTTTATCTTTTCTAATTTTTACTTCACACACCTTTTCACAAACCAGTAGAAGCATCACTATTGCGTTAGTCCTCTAGACAAATAATGACGAAGTAGCTGAAATGTATTCCTGGTATTCACATCACAACAAAATAAGAATTATTCAAAGTGTTACTATGCCTAAAGAAAGCACTAAATTGTTGTAAATTATAAATTTATGTAAGTGGTCCATGGATATTAGAATAAATAGACAATCTATGACCTCTTTGACATCAAGCTCCAATATCTCTTAATGGAATACATTCAATACTTCTCCATCACCGTCTCCTAGGTAATTTGCACACTACAGTAATCATAAAAGAGCTGCCACAGTAGTACATACCTAGCCATAATTTCATTGAATAGAAGAACAAAGTCTCTGCATATCACTAAGGTTTTTTATATTCATTTCTTACAAATTATTTAAATCAGAGTTAAAAGGAGATACTAATATCACACATGGCTTTGTCATATTTCCAAGTTTTTAGCACAATTTATTGTAGACTTTCTTTTACCATAGGGTTGTTAGTGATAACAAAAAGCCTAAGCAACCCTCAGTATCCAATTATTTTATCTTGGGAAAGATAATCACTACCACTGGTTCCATAAACATCACTATTTAAATGTTTAAGTTATTTTCCATTATGTATGCATTCATTATAAAATACCTCACTTTGGATATTTAAAAAATTGTAATAAATAGAATCCATGTTAATGGTGCTAAAGTTTATTTTTCAAAGTTTAGGGTTTTTTTTCTTGTTGTTTCGGCTTTTTTTTTTTTTTTTTTTTTTTTTTTGAGACAGGGTCTCACTGTGTAGTTGAGACTGACCGGAATTCATTATATAGCCCAGGCTGATCTTGAACTCACAGTGATCCTCCTGCCTCAGCCTCCCGAGTGCTGGGATTACAGATGTGCACCACTACACCCGGCTCAAAGTTTAGGTTTTAAGAAGTTCACAATTTAAATATGTACTACTCTACTTAATTCATTTAAATGGCCACAGTGACTTGTAATTTCTAATAATTTATATTTGTAGATATGGACATAGATATATTTATAGATATAAATTTATTTATATTTATAGATATTTATAAGTATATTTATTAGATAGATATATATATCTAATTTATAGATATGCTGAAATGTGTTAAAATTTCTTTGTCTTTGGAGACATCTAGTATCTTCCAGTTCTTTGACTTTATATTGCTATGGTTGTTAGATTGACTATACCTACACATTTTATGTTCACAAAAGAGAAAATTTCTCTATGATTTGTATCTAGAACTGAAAATAATGAGATACTTTATGTCTGATTGAGGAGTTCGAATTGCTCCACCTTGCTTTGGGAAATTCTATTGAATATATTGACAAATCTATTGAATAGATTTTCATCTCTCATCTTCTGAATTCTACTCACTTTTCAGGTAAAGGTTCAACATATTTTCAGAGTGGGGTCACCTAATCCTCCAAGTTTAAATGAAATGCTTTGATCTATGACTCCACAGCAGTCTATATTGCTTTGCAGTATCTGTCACTGATTTAATTACTTATTCAATATTAATGAGTATCTGTGCATATTTCTTGTTAAAGCATAAAGAAATCATGAATTCAGGACTTTGACTCTCTTAATTATCAAAATATCACCAGTGCATATATGACACAAAATAGGTACTGACACTCACTGTTTTACTGAAGGATTATTTTTTTGCACCATTGACTTCCCTAGCTATATAAAGAAGCTATTTCTCCATGAAAATTTTAAGGAATATTCTTGAAGAAATATTCAGTGGAAACTCATTCATTAAATTACACAATTAATTTTTCTTTATATTATTAAAAAAGATATTACCTAAAAGTCCAGATGTCATATACTGGTATGTCTTTCAAATTTTCCCCTATCATGTATATGCAATGACAAGATAAAAAATGTTTCCAAAGTTTATTTTTCTTCCTAAATCAATTTTATTTGGCACTATTTATATTATCATTCAATCTAAATGTGTTTATAGTGTCCTCTTAAAAATTTCAAATAATTTCATTAATATAATGGTGTAATTTGCATAAATGCCACTCTTCTTTCTTTCCCCTGAAGCCAATTAGTTTTGTTTTATTTATTTTTATTTTTATTTTTATTTATTTTTTGGTACCGGGGATCCAACTCAGGTCCTTGCACTTGCAAGGCAGGCAGTGGCACCACTGAGCTAAATCCCCAGCCCAATTCATTTTGTTTTAATAAAGAAAATTCATTGCTTCAGTATGTTGCTATTTTTCCAAAGTGTAAATGAAAATAAATTACTTATCTTTACCCCAATTAATAGACAGTAAAATGTTTTCAATTTCTGACTAACATAAGCAATTTCATTATTAGTATCAATAGCATACCACTATGTAAACCTTATAAGAATTTCTCTGGAGTATGTACCCAGCAGAGAAAATACCTGAATCATCAGACATTTACCCATTTAATTTCATTAATTGAAATTTTAGCTCTTACCATTCACATTGTCCTGACTTCAAGTGCCCAGTAGCTCATATGTAAATGATGTTTATGGGGCAAGACAGACACACGACTTTCTATCATGCACAAAGTTTTGCAACAGTGATCTGGATTTTATATGTTATAAGTATTTCTTTTGAATATATTTGTTAATTTTTCTAGTGCTTTTCATGAGGCATAAATTTTTTTTCCATTGAGTTTGTTGGTATTTTTTAAGTATACAGTACAGTTCCATTCATCACTGGGATCTTGTACCTTCGCATGACAGATCTTGGTTCTCATCTTTTTCCCATTCCCCTGCCCTCACTTCACCCCCTTCACCCTCTCCTCTTTACAATTTTTCCTTTTCTCCTATTTTTTTCTTTTACCTTGTTTTCATTCCATTACCTTTCCCACTTCCCCTACATTTTAAGCACTTTTCTTCCTATTTCACATTAACAGTTATGCAATTTGGATCTTACTTACACTTTTAGTTTCTCACACCAGAGAAACTATTCATATTTATTTACAAGTGTGTCTTATTTATTTCGCTTCAGACTACGGCCTCAATATGCATCCATTTTCCTGTAAATGACTCTAGTTTCTCATTCTTTATGGCTGGGTAGTACTCCATTTCATAGAAAAACCACATCATTTTATCCAGCCTCCAGTTGATGGACAATTGGACTGTTTCCAAATTTTAGCTATTGCAAACTGTGCCACTATAAACATGGGTGCATATATATCACCGTGGTATGATTCTTTTATTGGAAAAGACACGCAGCAGAGGGATGGCTGAGTCAAATGGAGCCTCTAATCCTAGTTCTTTGAGGGATCTCCCTGTTGATTTCCAGTAGTTTATTTTTTACATTATTTTTCTGTTTTTATACAACAGTTTTGTAGGTCATACACTCTCCAAATAGGTCGTATCAGTCTTTTCTACTTTTAAAATTACTACCATAAATATGATAAGAATGAAGAACCAAAAAGGGCACAATCTAAATGCTCTAGCAGCTTATCATTCGCAGCCTTGGCAAGCCTTCCCATGATCGGTACTGCAATATCCTTCCTATAGCAGATCACTGTACCATGTACTCCAACAAGATAGTCTCACAGTTTATGCTAGCTCCCGAGGTCATTAATTTTCTTCTCATATCTGTGTCATTGCTGTGCTGAGCTTTGATTAAAGAGCCTTACATCCAGATGACTCACTAATTTGGCAGAAGAAGTTAATAATTCCTCAAAATTTCATAGATTAAGTGACAAGAACATTTTATGTGAAATAACTCACCATTTGGGTAGTCATGTTTTTATTCAATAATTAAGTAAAAAAAAAAAAAACCATGGAAAATCTCTCTCATTCCTTTTTTTAAGATGATTGGAGAAATACAGGTTGCACCACATTCAAATACATGCAATAACCTAATCACAGCTTCCCTGAGGTGTACACTGAACAAATGGCCCATGTCTCCTTTTAAATCTGAAGCCATTAGCAACAATTACACACACAGAGATTTTTGGAGGCTTCAAATAAAAACCTTTAAATGGCCTTTTCATTGTTGGATATGCCTCCTATCAAAGAAATAAAAAGTGACAAGAATATAACTGCCACATCATAATTAAACTCCAAATCCACATGTGCCTTCTTCAAAAAACCTATTCTCTGCCTGTTAGAGGATATCTCATGACTTTTCTACTTCCCATGCTCTTTCTAATTGTTTATAAAGTGTTGTCTATATATCCCTGTCTCCTTACATTGATCCAGCCCATACTGCTTTGATAAGACTTGTGGCAAAGGTGTGATTTATTATACTAGAGTATGGACCTATTGGACAATGTCAGTACCCTCTTACTCTCACCAAGGTTTGACGCATGACTTCATAACCTACAGGAAAAAACTAAATGGTCCTACAACCAGCTGGGACAAGAAAAGATGGCAACTAGCCACTAGTTCTAATAATCTATTCAATCTCCCCAGTGGGACTAACTTTATGGTATTCAAAATGTAGTGCTGAAAGACTAGACCCATATTTTGTATTTCTGAGTCATTATTCCCTGAACAAATCAAATTCCCATTAGAATCATCAATGAGAGTGCCTAACATTTTCCAGCACTTATTAGACACACTTAATCCTAAGAGATACTATATTAGAGAGTCCATGGGTAAGAGTTTAAATGCTTTAGTGACTTGTACTCATTATAGAAATATGGACTCCAATGGGCTATGACCATCAAGATATTTTCTCATCTGAACATATATTGTTTATCGCATCTCAGCTGGTAAGGAGACATTTTAAAGCCTGTGCAGTTGCCTGTGAGAGTTCCTGCAAAAAAGCCATTGAGAATCAAAGATACTGTGATTGACATGTAAAAGGACAGTCTCCGGTTTCAGAGAATGTTGCGGTGATTTTAGATAATGGGCCAAAAGAGAGTTGAACTCAGGAGTTATTAATATTAAGTGAATTGATTTATGTAAATTTCTTGGTACCAAAACCTGGTACATAACAGAGTGTCAATGGATGATTGAATTTGCTACATTGATGGAAAGCTGTTGAATGTCTGCTATGTATGAGGCAGTGTGCTAAGTCAAAAAGTACAGTAATAATAAATCAAAAAATCCACAATCTTAGACTCAAGTACTTCACAGGTAAGTAGGGAACCATGCAGAAGAATAGAGAAAAGAATTATGGGTACTGACTGAGTGTGTTACAAAAGAGGCCACTGGTAACATACTGCTTTAGAGGCTGCAGCTGAATACAAAGTGTTAGAAAAGCAAAAAGTGGTTCATTGATTAGGTTGTGCACATTTTTTCTTAATAGTAACATAGTTCCTGACATATTACTAAACATTTTTATTTTCACATAAGTAACACCACTTGGCCCTCAGTTTCTTTTTTCTTTTTTAATTGGGCCACAACCAGTCACAGGAGAGAAATGGGTCCAAGTACACTTGCTGATATTACAGCTTTTGCTGAGAGGCAGGGAAGAAGAGAGCTTAGGAAATATGAGTATATGCTCAATAAAGAGTCCATCATGCCCTCCTTAAGAGTCTGGAATTTGGAAGATCACCAGGATTCTGCTTTGCCCCAATATCCCCACATGTAATTACCTCCACTTCTCTGAGCCTGAATTCATTTAACCACAGCAGCCTAAGCAAATTATGGGCTCATAAAATTTCTCTTATAATGTGGATATCAGGCATAGAAGAGCATAGGGTGTGACCGTCATAAAAGAAAAAATAATCACTTAGAAAAACTTTTTAGGAACGAAGAGACAAGGACCCTTCTTATGAGATAGTGGAAATTCAGGGGGAAAAGACACCAGTCTTTGCTCCAAGCCTCACTGACTCAGTTGTCCAGAGCATCTCTAAATTCTTCAAATTCTAGGGCTGCTGTATAACAAGAAAAAATCTTCAGGTAGTTACTGGAAAATCACTCCTAGATATCATTACATTTGAAGCTGTTAGAGGCTGGTCTGAGCCACTGAGAATAATAGTAAATTTGAAACTCAAGGAGGATTATAGAAAAGGTTCCCAAAATGAAAAAGCTCCATTACCTACTTCGTAGAAGTGATCTTGTCTTTCTCCCTACAGATCATCCCAGAGCAAAACATGAGATGGAGCCCAAGGATCTATTCAATCAGTCTCAAATGTCGGAATTCATTTTGATGGGACTGACCAGCTTCAAAGATGTAGAGTTTCTTCTCCTTGGACTCTTCTTGGTTATCTATGTCATAATACTTTTGGGTAACCTTCTCATTGTGGTCATGGTGTTTTTCACCCCAAACCTGAACACCCCCATGTATTTTCTCCTTGGAAATCTCTCCTTTGTAGATATGACCCTTGCCTCTTTTGCCACCCCTAAAATGATTGTGAACTTGGTGAAAAACAATAAGACCATTTCTTTCGCTGGTTGCTTCACGCAGATATTTCTTCTTCACTTCCTGGGTGGAGTTGAAATGGTACTGCTGGTCTCCATGGCTTATGACAGATATGTGGCCATTTGTCAACCCCTACACTACATGACCATCATGAGAAAGAAATTCTGTGTTTTACTTGTTGTGATCTCATGGCTTTCCGGTCTCCTTCATTCAGGGCTTCAGTTACCCTTTGTTGTAAGTTTGCCTTTCTGTGGTCCCAATGTGGTGGACAGCATTTTCTGTGATCTCCCTCAGGTTACTAAGCTTGCGTGTACAGACACCTATTTTGTGCAGATAGTCATTCTTGCCAACAGCGGCACGATCTCCATGAGCTGTTTCGTTATTTTGCTTGTCTCCTACAGTTTAATCTTCACAAGCATTAGGAAGCACTCTTCTGCTGGGCAGTCCAAAGCCTATTCCACCCTGACTGCTCACATCACAGTGGTCATTCTCTTCTTTGGTCCGTGCATCTTCATCTATGTCTGGCCCTTCAACAACCACCCTATGGATAAATTTCTTGCTGTATTTTATACCATCATCACCCCTATCTTAAATCCGATTATCTACACTTTGAGAAACAAGGAATTGAAGACAGCCATGAGGAAAATCTGGAGATCTTTCGTGAGTTCTAGAGAGGAGACTTAGGTTGAAAAGAAAATTGTCGAGAAACTTTTTTTCTTCATATCTTTAAACTCATCCTAAAATAGAGCTTTGAGAGACATGTAGTGGAAGGCAAATAAAACATGATTATAGGGCTCAGATATTCTCAAGTATTTTTAATATTTCACCACATAAAATTATTATCAATGGATATTGTCTTTTAAGACTAATGGTCCTAGTAACTTTCTTCAAGTTTGAGACAACTAAAATACACATCAGTGGATAAGTGAAATTTTATATATTAACAAAATGAAAATGTTAATACAGACTAACTGATTGTACATTAATTATATTGTGGGAAGGAATTTACCCTGCATGATTCTGTTTATGTGTTTCACATTAGTCAAAAAGATCTATGGTAAAAAAGTAAAAATAGTTGTTCTCTGGGGCAAAGAATAACTTAAAATGGTCAGGATGGTGCTGGAATTTTCCTGTGTATTTCATGTCACTTACATTGGGGTATGTGTCTGTGAATGTGTACATGCATTTATATATGTGTAAATGTGAAAAATCATGATCTCTATTCATTTACAATAAGTATATATAATATATGTGTATACACACACACATAGTACATTATTGACTATTTTTTATATTTAAAGAAAAATGTTAAGAAAAAACTACGGAAGTTAAACTGCCATTGGTTTTATGTTAACAAATTTCTCAGGTAAACAAAATGTAAACATTTTCCTGTCATTCTTACTTTTACTTCTTTTGTTGTTGTTGTGATGTCTGTCAAACCTAGGGCCTTGTACAACATGTAAGTCGAGTGTTTTCCCAGTTCTAAAGTTGTTTCTTAGAAAAGAAAAAGGTCATGGTACTGTTCGGTACCTGGCTCTCCTATTACCTAGGAGTAGTGTAATTTCCTGATTTATTAGTTAGCCTACATGTTTAATGTTTTTCTTCTATTTTGATTTGTATATGGTTGTGACACATAATAGTAATTTTCATCTCAGGTAACTGGTACATGTACATATTGCATCTTAATCATTTTTAGTTTCCTTTCCACTCCCCATCCTCCTGTCTCATCTGACTCATTGAGGTCATACGGAGAAAGAATAGGCAAACAGCAAGATTACATAATTAAAATATTTCAGAATATTTCAATATCTCACCAACAAAATTAATAGATAAAAAGTTATTGCTTTTTAAATGATATCAGCTGAGATACAAATTATCAAATATTTGCCTTTCAAAGACGTTCACTACATATATACTTTATCAAAGTATTGAAATGTTTGAAAAAATAAAGTTTAAAAGTAAATGGACCAACAATATTTCAAAAGCAATGGAATAGAGCAATTGTAGTTCTCAAAGAAACATTTGTACCATTAATATGAACATAAAAAGGTAAAAAACAACTATTTAAACAACCTAATGTAACATCTCAACTAGAATAACAAGAATAAATTAAAGCCAAAGATAACAGAACAAAGAAAATTCACCAATACCAGGGCAAGATTAAGATACAGTCTACAAAAACAATAGAAAAAAATCAGCAAGAAACAAAGGATAGTTTTTTGAAAAGATAAAAATCAATAAATTATTAGATATACTAGTATAGTGAGACAACTCAAATAAATTATATCAGCAGTAAAACAGAACACTTCAAGTTTTCAAAAAAATTGTAGAAGGGAATTATAGCAAGCTAATGTTTAATGCCAGCATTACCCTGACACCAAAGCCAGACTAGCACTTCAAAGGAAAACAAAATTATAGATCAGTATTCTTTTAATTTTTTTTGTTGTTTTTTTAGCAACAGCATCTCACTATGTAGTTCAGACTGCTCTGGAACTCGCTGTGTAGCCCAGGCTGGTCTCAAACTCACAGTGATCCTCCTGCCTCAGCCTCCTAAGTGCTGGGATTATGGGCGTGCACCTAGATTAGTATTCTTGATAAACACAGATACAAAAAGTTTCACAGTACTGCTAAACTGACTACAATAGCATGTTAAACCAATTATTCATGATGATCTAGTGAGATTTATTCTAGGGATCAAAGTATGGTTCAAAACATTTATATTTACAAAGGGAACTCAGCATGTAAGCACAATGACAAAGAAAATTATCATAAAATCTTATCAATACTTGCAGAAAAACATTTAACAAAATGCAAGATTCCTTCATTGTAAAAATAGCAACTAGGTTAGATATTGTAAGCCTGTTGTTAATATTGTATTTAAGGCTAGAAAATTAAAATCTTCTCTAAGATCAATAACAAGACAAAGATGCCCAATATTACATCTATGGAAATATAACACTTAAAGTTCTAACCATAGTCTTAGGTATGAGGAGGAAATATAGGGCATCTAAATTGGGAAGATGTAAGTTAAATTGTCTCTTGTAGATGACATGGATTGTTATAAAAAAAATCCTACATGTTTTACCATACTACTGTTAGATCTAATAAATGAATTTAGTACATTTCCAGGAAAAAAAGTTACCATACCTAAATTGGTAGTGTTCCTACACACAAAAGCTATTTATTTATAAAGACAGTCAGGAATACAATACAAATGACAATTTAGTTATAAATATAGAGGGGGGATAAATTTCACTGAGGAAATGAAACATCTTTGAGGAAAATATTTGAAAACAATAAATATATAGACAGGTGTTCATAGATTGTAGAAGTTAATCTAGCTAAAATATTCATATTTTTCAAAGTAATCTAGAATCAATCCAATCCTTATAAAAATTCCAAATGTTCTATTAGCCTGAGATTTCCTTGAGTTTTCTGGGTCTTTGGTGATTTTAAATGAATTTTAGAATTTTTCCTTCTTTGTGAAAAAACACTATCTTTCTTCTTTGTGAAAAAAAGCTGAAGTTTTCTTATTTCCTGATTTCAAAATATACTTCAAGTCTGTAATAAAATAGCATAACATTGAACTAAACACATAAGTCAGTGGAACAGGATAGTGAGCAATGGAACAATTCCATCCATTTCTTTATCAATTTATCCTTAATCAATGATATAAAAAACACAGAGTGTACAAAGACAGTTTCTTCAATTAAAAAGTTAAGAAATACATAT